AGAGAGAAATCACTCGATTCCCCCATCCACGCTAAACAGCGTGCTTGGATGAATCTGCAGCGCTGGCTATTGTATTCTGACAGCAGGCACCTGCAGCTGTCAGAATCTTTGAACAATGCCTGAATATCATTGGATGAAGTTGTTGTTTGGCTGAGAATTTTCCACAAAGCTCCTTCAACATAAGGGCCACCAACAGAATGAATTTCAGCTGAATCAGCATCCTTGTATGCACAGCTGAAGACTGGGTCGATGTCTTCCTGAGAGCAAATGGTGAAGATATATGCCTGTCTTCATAAGAATCATCGGCTGTGATATTTGCTTGCAGGTGAAAGCAGTGCACACATTGTACTTTTGAGCCAGTGGAAAGGCCCAGACAGATTTTCCAAATGGCTGCAGTGAGTGCTTCCAACTGCCAAAATTACTTCCTATGTCCACCACGCAGGTCCGAAATGGCCTGAAAATCTCATTCAATACTCAAAAGTATTAGCTGCAATGTGGTTATGTATTATGGTATAGTGTGCTGCACAGGGTTGCTAACCCCCCCCAAAATTGTTTTACTGACAAAACATAGAAAATTTACAGACAAGCACATTTTTTTACTGACAACTAGAAATTTGACATAAACTCATATTAGAAACTAAGAGAACTAATATTTAACCACTTGCCAAGCAGCAGTTTACCTATTACTACTGATCATCGGCTTTGTTCAGGTACATCGTGGGGGCACTTCCTGGTTTACAGGCATGTCCCCTGCTTCTCCTGCACTGGTTGGACACAGCATGAGTTCATTAGCAGGCTTGCAGACAATGATTTTGGCTGTGAACCCGCTGATGGCTGTGGCCAATCACAGCACAGATCTGTGTGTATTAGTTAACAAAACCCAGATCTTGTTGCTTTTTTCTCTCTGATTTCACTTACCGTTCAGAGCTGAAAAAGCCAAGGAAAAGATAAAGCCAGCCAGTCAGCACACGTATACTTGTTAGACAAGCAATTAACCCTTTGATTGCTCTCCGGATCACCCCTATCACCCAGCCAGTCCGATTAGTACAGTGACAGTGTACAGCAGGGGCAGACTGACAACTCATAGGGTCCCCGGGAAATAAGAAATAATGGGCCCCCTATGTCTCCGCCTATACTCAAGCCAAAGCCACACAACACCCTGCATACATATTTCAGTTCAGCAGCACAGAAAGGGCATTAAAATTATTTTAAAAAATAATAAAGCAATGTCGTGGGGTCTCCCCTCCATTCATACCAAGCCCTTCAGATCTAGTATGGGTTTTGAGGGGAACCCCCCATGCCAAAATTTAAAAAAAATGGTGTGGGGTTCCCTCCCAAAGATCTATACCAGACCCTTATCCGAGCATGCAGCCCAACAGGTAAGGAAAGTGGGAGATGAGCGAGCCCCCCCTCCTGAACCATACCAGGCCACATGCCCTCAACATGGGGGGGATGCTTTGGGGGTTCCCCCCCCCCAAAAGCACCTTGTCCCCTTGTTGATGGGGACAAGGGCCTCTTCCCCACAGCCCTGGCCTTATCAGAATCTGGAAGCCCCCTTTAGCAAGGGCCCCCAGATCCCCCCCCCCCCCATGTGAATGAGAGGAAGTGATGTCAGATGATGTAGCCAGAAGTTCTGAATCGGCCATCTTGGAAGTGGATTATCCATCTGGGAGATAGTGAGCTTTATGCTTTTGCTGCTGGTTGTTTTTAGCTGCGCTAACTCTAATTTTAAATGTAAGCAGTTCTATTAAAGTGCCTTTAAGTTTTTTGGAGGTCTTGCACTATTGCTATATTTTTCTCTTTGTGGTACCATCATTATTGTGCGGAGCATATGAAGACAGGATCCGGGAAAGCTGGTGGTCTATTCTAAGCCCTGTTCACCTGTCCTCTGGTAAGGTGCACTGGATGACAGGTTTTGGTTCACAGAACACACCTTTTTCACTATTATTTGAGTGTATGAGTTCACATCATCCATTTTGTTTGCAATTGAAGGGAGGATTTGCAGCATGTTTTGTACTTGGTTTCTTTTGTCAATTTGGTAAGGTACATCGATTGACAGGAGAACTTGTGTTTGGGTTTTTGTTTTGTTTGTGCATTCACTTTCACTTTTTCTTGCTGTGATAGATTTTCACGTTTGCAGTTACTTAGTGCTGGTAGCACATAGTGTTTTGATTTATTTATATATTTTTCCCACACGGGTACACTGAGGTGTTTTGTAGGCATATTAAGTTATAAGGATAATGCACTATGTTTATTTCTTTATTTTGAGGTAATATGGGAACAAGGAAGAACTGTGTATGACTATGCATATCTTTGGACAGTTCACTACATAAGAAAAATATTTTTTGGACACTGGATGATTTTTAGTGACTTTTTGGATTTATTTAGAAGATTAATTTTCAGATCACAATTTGGGTTTTTGCACGCATAATTTAACTTTTTTTTAAATTAATATTTATGTGGCTCATTATCACTGTTTGTACTTGCCTTTCTGGGGTGGAAGGCGTTACACTGAGTCCTTGGGATTTAGTTAACTGAGTGAGAAGGAGTGGTTTTTACACTATACATGGTACCACTACCCATTCACAAAAAAAAATGTAGTGTGAAAAAAGACAGGAGACAGTCTTTGACAAGTCCTTTTTTTAAAAGAAGAAAAAATAAAAGTGTCCCCCAAAGTAGATCCAACATCAATCACAATGCCCTACGCCGCAACTGGAAAAAGGAAAAAAAAAAAGGCTCCACTCCCAACATTGGCTCTTGGCCGTCTGACTGCTCCGCTGGCTTGACAGTTCTTAAAAATGTAAGGGGTGGGGCCACCCAGTAACATCACACATGTGGCCCCACCTCCTTGTGACATCATTGACCCAGCATGCCCCGGTTGATGACACCACAAGTAGCGGGGTCACACACGTGATGGCCCGGGGTGGCCCAGCCCCCTTCATATTTAAGAACTGTCGAGCCAGCGGACCAGTCAGACGGTTGGGAGCCAGAGTCGGCAGCAGAGCCTTTTTTTGGGTAGTGGCGGTGGCTGGCATCGTGATTGACGTTGGATCTACTTCGGGGGACACTCTTTTATTTTTCTTCTTTTAATAAAGGACTTGTCAAAGACTGTCTCCTGTTTTTTTTCACACTACACTTTTTTTTTTTGTGAATGGGTGGCGGTACCATGTACCCCATACTCATTCACATAGAAGGAGGGGCGGGATCAGGGGGCCCCCTTGCTTAAGAGGGCTTTCAGATTTCGATAAGTCCCCCACCCGCAGACCATCCACAACCACCGGCCAGGGTTGTGGGGAAGAGGCCCTTGTCCCCATCAACATGGGGACAAGGTGCTTTGGGGGGAGGTGCCACATGTGACAGTCTCACAGACACACATAAACTTCAGGACAAAGCAGGATTAAAAAATAATTTAATTTGCTTTTCTGCACATAATAAGAGATCATTTTGTCTGGATGAATCAACCTTAAAGAAGAACTTTTGGGACAATAAACACTTTGAACAAGAGAGAGAGGGATGGAGGGAGAGAGAGAGAGAAAGGGGAGAGAGGGGCATTAAGGGGGAGGGGGCAGAGAGCAGAGGGTGATTTCAGTCACAAATATGTGAATTTGAATGCATTTTGAACTGCACCGATTCACATGACATGTGAACCAAAAGGCTTTTCTGTGGAGCCCATTCACAGCTGCAATGTGATTTGAAAAAGGGTCCTGTGAGATTTTCAGTCCGTCAGGTGCGATTTCCAATCTTATACATTTTAATAATTTGCATTGTAATCACACCTGAACCGCTGAACGAAATTGCACTGCAAACTGTCCCGCACATATGTGAACCCAGTCTGAGGCTGGTCTCTCCAAGGCTCAGGCAGTGGCATCAAGCAGCCAGGATGTGGTGCTGCTGATGTTTCAAGTTTCCCGCCTACACAGGCACAGCACTGGCTGCACACCAGGGCTTGGAGTGTTGTTGTGGGCACAGAGGGATAGAGGCGAGAGGTGAGCAGACCATGAGAGTGGTGCTGGCTGGGCACTGTGAGAGTGTTACAGACGCTCAGCCTTGACAGCTGTAGCCAGCTGCCATATTTTATTGGACAGTTTCTCCTGCCCACAAGCTTTTTTTACAAACTGTCCATAAAAATATGCACAGTTGGCAAACCTGGTGCTGCAGTTTGGGTTCATTGAGAAATACTGTACTTGTGCATTGGGTGCCATTGTAAATTAACAGCACCCCAAAGCACCACACAGAGTGCTATGTTGCCATACCCCGTAGTAACACACAGTAAACCACATCACCACAACATAACAGTGTAAAGCCACCTAAAGCAAACCCGTGCTTTTTTAATGCAGGACATAGCACTAGATTTTCTTTTATTGCCTTCCTTTTAGCATCACACTGACCTTTCCTTCACTCCCTCATTGATCTATTTGACAGAAACGAAGAAAGCACTTGGTACTTTCCAGTGTGGAGGAGCAAGTGATTCATTCATTTGGACTGGTGCTTGGTGATTGGCACAATAAGGGGGGGTGGCGAGAGTACTCAGATCTTTGTAAACTCCGACTACAGCAACCTATTTCTGCTTGCTGGACAGAATGGAAGGTGAGTGGATTGAAGGTAAGGTAAATACATTATATTGCCAAAAGTATTGGGATGCCTGCCTTTTCATGAACTTTATTGGCATCATCTTAGTCCATAGCGTTCAATATTGAGTTGTTCCACCCTTTGCAGCTATAACAGCTTCAACTCTTCTGGGAAGGTTGTCCACAAGGTTTAGGAGTGTGTCTATGGAAATGTTTGACCATTCTTCCAGAAGCGCATTTGTGAGGTCAGGCACTGATGTCAGACGAGAAGGCCTGGCTCACAGTCTCCGCTCTAATTCATTCCAAAGGTGTTCTGTTGGGTTGAGATCAGGACTCTGTGCAGGCGAGTCAAGTTTCTCCACCTCGAAACTCACTCATCCATGTCTTTATGGACCTTGCTTTGTGCACTGGTGTGCAGTCATGTTGGAACAGGAAGGGGCCATCCCCAAACTGTTCCCACAAAGTTAGGAGCATGAAGTTGGCCAAAATGTCTTGCTTTGCGGACACCTTAAGAGTTCCCTTCACTGGAACTAAGGGGCCAAGCCCAACCCCTGAAAAGCAATTCCACACCATAATCCCACCTCCACCAAACTTTACACTTGGCACAATGCAGTCAGGCAAGTACTTTTCTTCTGGCAACTGCCAAACCCAGACACATCCATCGGATTGCCAGACAGAAAAGCGTGATTTGTCACTCCAGAGAACACATCTCCACTGCTCTAGAGTCCAGTGGAGGCGTGCTTTACACCACTGCATCCGACGTTTTGCATTGCAATTGGTGATGTAAGGCTTGGATGCAGCTGCTCGGCCAAGGAAACCCATTCCATGAAGCTCTCTACGCACTGTTGTTGTGGTAATCTGAAGGCCACATGAAGTTAGGAGGTCTTTAGCTATCGACTCTGAAATTGGGGACTTCTACGCACTGTGCACTTCAGCATGCGATGACCCCGCTCTGTCATTTTATGTGGCCTACCACTTCTTGGCTGGGTTGCTGTTGTTCCCAATTGCTTCCACTTTGTTATAATACCACTAACAGTTGACCGTAGAGAATATTTAGTAGCAAGGACACTTTATGGTTGGACTTACTGCACAGATGGTAACCTAAAACTGTACCACATTTTAATTCACTGAGCTCCAGAGAGCGACCCATTCTTTCACAAATATTTGTAGAAGCAGTCTGCATACCTAGGTGCTTGATTTTATACACCTGTAGTCATGAAAATGATTGGAACACCTGTATGCAATGGTTTGGAGGGGTGTCCCAATACTTTTGGCAATATAGTGTATGTGCAGATGGGGAAAAGGGGCTTTAAAATAAATCCGTTGGTTTACCCTACAAGAGCAAAGTACTGGTTTAATTTAAAGTTAAACTCCAGGTGGATATTATGCAGCTCTGTAATATATAACACACACATTTATGCAGCTCTGTAATTGTTAATACATGGTCAGAAGTATCTTTTAAATGCAATCAGTGTAATTATCTGAATTCAGTTTGGTATTAGCCTCTTGCAGTCTACTGTACAGCAGACCGCTCAAATGCAGAGGGAGATATAGCACAATGAGCTGTAGTACAAGAAACATGCCGGTAGGAAGAGAGAGTAGAATGACAGAGAGATGTAGCTCATGGTGCACTGTCTTATCTTTTACTGTCCCCTCACTTGAGGGTGGAGAGACTTGTAAGTCCAAGTGAAACTGCAGCAAAGAACGATAAGGTTCCCTCCTCTGACAGACAGGACTGTGCTGTGTGGCAGAGCTGTGTATATCTCAGGACTGGATGGACAACATTGGAAATCCTTTAGCAGATAAAATAGCTCCTGTAATTTATCTGTGTAATTTAGCTGTTTGCCTTAACTTCTGCTTTAAAGTGTACTTTTTCACAACATAAAAAAGATTATTCCTTTGTCAGTTACATACTCTATATGGACTTTATCAATCATCGTTTTTAAGTCCCACCTGCTGCTATTCATATTAAAGTTTACACATGGATTTCCTCCACTTCCTACTTCCTGAGTGCCGAGTGAGAGTATCTTCCTAACATAGTCACATGGGGGATTTCTGCACAAATAAGGTACAGGCAGACAGTTAAAAAAAATCGAGTTGGCTACAGTTTGAAGTAGAAAGGTATGTCTTATTAACACTAAATCATACTAAGGTCTGTAGTAATTATTTCTCGTGCATGGTTTTTGGCAAATACTAGCTTTCCCCTCTCTATGTCTTGTGGGTCTCTTTTTTTTTTCTGCAGACTTTTTTTATTTTTCTGTTTGGGCCTGTTGATCTTGCCAGTATTCACTTCTGCTCTGAGGGTGACAACACTGCCTTGTTGGGCATCTATGCAGATTCTGCATTGTCACCTCTCGAGTGCAGAGCATGCTAACAGGTTTAGTTTGATTGACACAATCGCCAACCAAACTTCAGTGTGGGCAGAACATCAGGAATGGCTCTAGCTTGATTGACGTGAGCTAGGCCGCATCATTAAGTACTGACACGCGCCTACTGCACTGCTGCAGAAACACAGACTGGAAGCCCTGAGAACTATTATAGATTGTGCAGTAAATATAAACTGCAAAAGTGAAGGTAAGGAGTTGTTAAACCAGCATAAAGAAATTTAGTGCTGCAGACCTCAGCACTTTGATGCATGGTTTTCACCTTGAAGTGGTTATAATGGCTATTTCTTAATTAAAATAATAAACATGGTAAACCTATCTGCTCTGTGCACAGTATTGCACAGAGTGGTTTCTTACCTTCTCTCCTGGGGTCCACTATTGGCACTCTGTGCTTCTCCTCTTCTGTGAGTGCCCCCACAGCAAGTAAGCTTCTACGAGGGCACTCGTGCGGGTACGTTTTGGAGCTGGGCTGTGTGCATCCATAGACACACACAGCATGGTTCGGCCCTGTCTCCTATTTCCTCTTCAAAGGTTTTGATTTACAGTGGCAGGAGGCAATGGCGAGAGGAAAATGCTGCTGCACATGTGCACAGAGCTGGAATGAGAAACGAATCAAGCAAGTATTTATTTATGGTGGTGGTGGTGGCAGGGGAATACAACTTACAGGACAGGGAATGCATTATGGTAACAAATGTCTTGACTTTAGAACCACTTTAAGCATGTGGTTATTTTGCCTTCATTCCCTGAAAAAGCCAACATCCTCTGCCTAGCACCTGCTGCTACCACCTCTGTAAGGGGGTACCCTTACTTGACATTTGTTTGCTTAGGGAAATACCTTCCTGACTTAGTATTTAGTGCTTCTCCAATGTTAAAGGGACAGTTCACCCAAAGTTGCTATCTTCCCTGGGCCCTTTTCTTGGATGGCTCTTCCCTCTTACAGGGTCCCATGGAGCCACCTTTGCATGCATGCTCCAGACTGACCCCTTATGCCTTCACAGAAGCAGATCGCCAAACTTCAAGCCACTCCCTGTGAGTGATTCATAGCAGATGGAGCCTGTGCTGTCTCTTCTGAACAACTTCATGTTTAGTACTCAGGACGTGAGCTCTCTTGCACGAAAGTTTGGTAAGACAGCGTTTTGTACTGGGGAATATTATTTTTATTATACAGGATTTATATAGTGCTAACAGTTTGCGCAGCACTTTACAATATAAAGGAGATGGTAAAGTTACAATACTATCAAATACAAGAAGTTAAGAGGGCTCTCACACATAGGAGCTTACAATCTAATAGGGTGGGGCAAGTGGTAGAAAAGGTTATAAGCTGAATGAGGTGATAAAAGTTCAATTAGTTAGAGGTGTGATAGGCTTCCCTGAAGAGATGAGTTTTCAAGGATCACCTAAAGGGAGCCAGAATAGTAGATAGCTGGACAGACTTAGGTAGAGAGTTGGAGAGGCTCTGGAGAAGTCCTGGAGATGAGCATGGGAGGAGGAGACAAGGGAGCCCGAGAGCAGGAAGTCTTCAGAGGAGCACAGAGGACAGTTACGGAGAGGTAGGCCCATGAGAAGGGAGTTGCAATTGTCAAGGAGAGAGATAATAGGGGAGTGAATGAGTAGCTTGGTGGTTTCATTAGTTTAATATGGGTGAATTTTAGAGATGTTACGGAGATGAAGCTTTTGACAGCGATTGTATTTTGGGCCAATAGTATGGGTCAGAGTTTAGGAATACATGTAGCTGGATTATTAATCTTGATGGACAAGTCATGGAGGAGGGCATGAGCGGAGGAGAAAAATTATCACCTTGGTTTTAGAGAGATTTAGTTTAAGGAAGTGGTGCGATATCCATGCTGATATGTCAGTTAGTAATGCGAGGGGAGACTGGATGGGTGAGGCGAGAAGTAGAGAGATAGATTTGGGTGCCATTGGGTATAGTTAATGTATTCTAAGTAAGATGGTTATTTTAAAATGGAGCATTTAGAAAATAATAGATCCACTTTCAAATGTTATCTTCCATTCAATTACTAGTCTTTTAACCAATTCAATACCAGGCACTTTTAGCTCCTTTCTGCCTAGGCCAATTTGCAGCTTTCAGCGCTGTCGCACTTTGAATGACAATTGTGTGACCATGCAACACTGTACCCTTATGACATTTTTATCATTTTTTCACACAAATAGAGCTTTCTTTTGATGATTTTTCCTCACCACTGTTGTTTTTTTTTTTCTTACTAAATATACAAAAACATTTTGAAAAAAAAGAGTTTTTCTTTGTTATAAAATTGTGCACTTAAATAATCTTACTTCATAAATTTAGGACATAATGTATACTGCTATATTTCTTTGGTGAAAATAACCCAAATCAGTATATATTATTTAGTCTGTAGGAAAATTATAGAGACCACAAACTATGATATATACTGTATATATATATATATATATATATATATATGAAAATCGATCAATCATGATGTGCTGACACCCTCAGTTCTTGAGACCTAGAAATGCCAGGACAGTACAAATATCCCCCAATGACCCCTTTTTGGAAAATAGACAGCCCAAGCTATTTAGTAAGAGGCATGGTAAGATGTTTGAAGTTGTAATTTTTTATCACAATTTTTTGGAAAATGAAGAATTAAAAAAAAAATGTTTTTTATACAATTTTTTCTTTACATACCGTCACCAGTGCAGTGCAGCGTCATCATAACTGTGGTGGTGATCAGGGGTACTGACTGGTGACAGTGTGTAAAAAAAAAATTAAATACTTTTTTCAATGTTTTAAATATATTTTACTGAATGAATATATACATTTTACTGAATGAAATTGTTTGGCAACAGCTAATCACATGCTACAGATGGGCTGTGATTGGTCTTGTCTGTACCATCTGATCACTGTGACCAATCACAAAGATCAACACAATAGTACACAATGAATGGCATGAGTGGACGCTGTCCATTTTTTACAATCGTCATGTAATCTGCTTTGATTGGGGACAGAGATCACATGGTGCTGGTAGTGGGCCAGTACACTGATCTGTCATCCGCTGTGCCCAGTAGACACCGGGTTCTGCTGCAACGCAGCCTGTGGGTCGCGTGTGAGGCACTTTCTGCGGAGGATGTCAAATGATGTCCACTTAGAACGGTGAATGTTCTTTCCAGATCTCATTTTACTATAGGTCGAGCAGGAAGGTATTAAATTCAGGTGCTATACTTTAACAAAAGTGAATTTATTTATTAGGCTCTTATGACATGGACATGCTCCGTTCCATTCACTAGAGGATCTCTGAACACATTCCTTGCTGAATCGGAGCAGAACAGGACAAGTGTCACTTTTGTCCCCATTCATGTTTCTTTTTTTTTCTTTGCATTTTGACAGCAGACTGTGGAGGACCCGAGTTGGATCTATGGGTTGCCAGATGTAAATGGACTTGTTTACATCAGGTCAGGGGCGGACTGACAACTCATGGGGCCCCCGGGCAATAGGGGATCATGGGGCCCCTGTGTCCTTGCCCATACTCAAAAAAGCCTACGAGAAAGGTACCAGGGGCATCTCATGGGGCCCCCTACTGACCCCGGGCCCTCGGGCAGTGCCCGAGTTTCCAAATGGTCAGTCCGCCCCTGCATCAGGCTACCTCCAATCATTACACAGGTCTGCGACTAAAAAAGCTGTTTGATTATTTTCATCTAATTTCCATGTATTTTGGTGTGCTGAAAACAAATAAAATATTGAAAAAACTCCTAGACGTCATGATTTGCCACAGAATGCAAAATTGTC